TTTGTTTTTTGTTTTGGTTAAAGTAATAAAAGTGTTCTATAATAACATGTTGATCCAAAAAAAGGTTAATAACAACGTTTTGTTAAATGGTTTTTGATTATTATCCTCTTGCCTTTGTAGAATGATCCTGCAATAAATATCGTAATTACGTTCTCTTAATTAAATCGAATATCCAAGATTTGGAAACGCTTAGAATCCTCGATTCACCTCTAAATCGAATCAAATCGAAAAAAAAAACAAAGAGCCAAAAACCTGTGAAACCTGTTTGAATTGAAAATTTTAAGTTATATGCTATATGTATATTTAATCGATTTTAGCTATAACATAAGTTAGCGTTTGTCGCGGAGGTGGAGGCGTTCGTGTTTTGCCGGTGCGGTGTAAATTGCTTTGTTTACAAGTCACTTACGTCAGTCTTGCTTGGAGACGCACTCGCAAGTTCAAGGTGACTTGATTGTTGGTGAAGACGCTTTTCTTACTAACACGCGGTACTACTTAAATAGTTGAATATAATAAAGTTTAAGCTCGAATTAAACCTTATAAATCAGTATATAATTCTGTGAGATGTGAAATGGGGTAAAGAAGGTTTTGTCACACTTATGTAAGACAGGTGCTAAACTCTTCTAAGATTGTTTTAGTTGTCCAATTAATTGCATTGCAATCTTTATTTCATAGAACGATATGCCAGAAAGACTACAAACCCGACATGGTTGTACAATTGCTCTCGCGAGTTATTCATTAAATTCGAAATGTTTTACTTGTAAATGTTAAAGACGCAGTAGAAATCTGGTTGATCTCACGTCGTTACTCGCGACCTGTGTACACAGTTGGTCTGCTCCTTACAAGTACGTGCCCAGCCTGTCGTCGTGTATGGTGCAACAGTAAACACTGACTCATCTCCTTTGCTAACATCAGATAAGGTGATTGTTAACGCGCAGGAAATTGCTCCGCCACGTCTTTGTAGCTTTATGGGGATTGGAAGATAACGCGACTTGATTTATGATATAAAAAGTTGACATAATTATAGTGTACTTTCGGATGAAATTAATTGACACGAACTTTTGAGTGTAGATTAAATATCCCTAATAAATAATAAAGTAATTTCTGCGTATATTTAAAGTTTTAATATACCCTACAAAGTACATATTCGTTGTCAGAATTAAATTTGCTCACAGCTTGACCTACTGTTCTCTCAAATTAAGCTGAGGTCAAGCTGCACTTCTTAAATCTTGTTGCACTCTAAGAAGCACATATTTTATACTCGTTTGGAGAATTCATTAGTTTACCTACATTTTTAAGAAAATAATAAGAGTTTTCTTAAATAAGGTTTGCAATAACATGCACGCCCTGCCGTTATTCTATTAGTTATGAATGTTTTAATGCTACCATTATTATCTGTTAAGTTATTTTTATCCTTCGACATTCCTTATAGGTGATAGTAAACAAGTCAGAATAGTTCACGTGAACCTAACATTTGCAGTACTAGCGGAGGTTAGTTACGTTTCATTCCCTTTCAATAACAATTGAGCCCGTGAGAAACAAATACGGCTTCTGTACTTGTGCCTTGTTCCTTTCATGTAACTAAATAGATGTACTAAATACAATTATGAAAAGGTATTCTGCTGATTATTACTTCTTACCAATATTAAATGCCCAAGTTTGGATGGATGGATGTTTGTTAGACTTTATAGCCTAAACTGCTGAATAAATCTAGATTGAATTTGCCATAGATGTAGATGATAGTGGGGAAGAACACATAGGCTACTTACTTTTTCATTTTAATTACATTCGGACGGAGTCGCGGTCGAAAGCTTGTTAGGAAAGAAAGTACTTAATCACGATCAGGTTATTTTCTAGCCAATAGATGAAATATAAAGAAAAAAGAAAAATATAAGAATAAAACGTCATGATGTGTGGGAAGCAATCATTTATCCATCTAACTACCTTCCTGTGCCGTATCATTCGCGATCTTGTAATGATTGATAAACCTTGTGAGTAATTAAAGACATCGATTTACATGATTTCTTCTTTACATCATTAGGAATGAAAAAAATGTAACTGACGTCACTAGTCTTGACCGTAACTTTTTTATCAAGCTTTATTCGGATCACATCAATTCAATAAAAATTGCGTCGTGCTGTGTAGCAGTTTGTAATGAAACAAACGTATCTCCCGGACTTCCCACTATTAGAAGCATTTTACTAGTATCTAGTAAGATTAGAAAACATGACTTAAAAAAACTTAAGACTTAAATGTAGTTATTAACTGTTAATAAATTACAACTCATCGTAGTTCATGCACATGCAGTTTTGGCCTAATTAATACAATAAGGTGTCAATAACAACCAATTAGTATGCATTTCGTGTCCGCTGCGAGTAATTATGAAGCATAATCGTACGAGCTGCTACGTGTGTCGCTTGCCTAATCTATTGCTTAGGCACGGATCTATAGGATCGCAGTTAGTAAAGGTTAATTCACGAAATCCGCAACCAAACGGTGATTATGTAACGCCTTAATAAATTAAAAAAATATAAACTCTGCTACAGTTGCGATGTCTTAATTAAGCCAATCATGACGCACTTAATACACAAATTACTAATATTGTATTGCGCCACGATGTTTATTCATTATGCTGTATTTGTCTTTTAAGAACGCTGTTTATACCTTTATGAATCATTTCATTTACCAAGAATTGTACATAATCAATTTATCAAAGTGATACAATTACTCGATTATTAAAAAATGTCGATAAACAACCCACACTGTTAAAGTACAGGTGCGTAAGCTCTCGCCTAGAATATCGATTTTTGAGGCCCACTCCCTAGGTAGTACTCGTACATTTGGTTAGGATTGCGGTAGTGATGCAACCGCCAACTCGGTCACATCTAGTATTTTCGCTCAAAGTCAGATAATTATAGAACTAGATTGCCCATCTCTTCCTGTACCACTTCTGCATGACCTTTCCTACCAAAAAGGTTGCGATAGGCTTTTGCTTTATGATTTATTAAATAAAAAAGAGGGAATTTGTTTCTTATATATCGTAGTTTATACTTGCTCAATACTAAACGAAATTGATACATAGTCCAGTGAAAACTTTACTTTGACGAGAGTATTACTAACGGTAATTACTGCAAAAGTATGGTTCAACTTTCTTGTTCAATGTTCATCAATTACACGCAACGTTAGTCAAAGATGAAAATTCGTCTCTCCGTATTGCGGATGAATTGTATAATTGCCGTTGGAAATTGCGCCTCCTGCAATAGAGGCAGACTGCATCGATCGCTGAGGACCCGCCTCACACGGGAAACGAGCCGAGTAATTGCCCTCAATTGACGAATTACTCTAAACGGAGGAGGCATATCAAAGTATGTAATTTCGACTTTTTATTCGTTTCGACACGAAAACACCAAATTTTAGAGATCGGCGTAAATTTTTGGATCCGCTTGTCTTTTTTATCCTACAAGTATTCTCCAATATGTATTACAAAGTAAAAGTTTCTCGAACCGTCTGCAAACGTAATATGTCTGCACTTGAACTTGACCACCGTCGCTTAAGATATTTTCGTTCGAGTTACGTACTCAATACATTCGATAATAAATTCGACAAATAATATTCGTACTTGAATACCAATTACATCATCGACGTTAAGTGAACCATACATAAGCATAAATGTAGACATTATCATATATTTGTGTTTATATTTCTGCGTTTCCACTGTTTGGATTTACCAATGTTTCGGTTAAAAAGTCTTTACTTTAGTAGTTACTGTTTAGCACTTCATTCAAGAAGCACGGAAATAGACGTAGAATCGGAGTGAAGATGATAATAGAAATGAAACTTACTTAGCTGACGAAATGAGAAATACTTCGTAAAACAGCTATGATGCTCTGAAAATCGGAGTATTTTCATATATACTACAGTTTCTGCTGTTTCCACAGGTACATCGAAAAACATAAGCATTTTCGAACTGTTCATACATAACAGTTTTTCACATGTTAACATATGTTAAACAAATACCATAAGTTGTCATAGAAAAATTCCTCGTACAAAATCAATATCTTTTGTAAAATATCCAGCTACTTTGCATACACATTGTGATATACATCAGTTGAAACATGCGGTCTGTTAACATCACAATGTAAATGTCAATTTGCAGACAAACGTGAAAAATTCTGCTTATTATGCAAAGTATCTCAATTAAAGATGACGACTTAAAGCAATAGATTACGACAGAAAAATGTTCTGAACGAGTTTGTTACCTTATATTGATAATTGTTATGTCCTTGTTATGCAATTGTACTCTTAAGCTTTAGTTAGATTGTAAAAGAAATTAATTGAAATTTTACATAAAGCCAAAAAATACTTGATTCTTGTGTTTAAGGATGTCCAATTGGTATAGAAAGTCTATACTCTAGAGTAGAATTTATACGAGTGAATTGATAACAAAAAAAATGATTTATATTAGCAATAATTAAAGATCCCAAAACAATATAATATATTAATACTAAGTAATCAATTTAGTAGATTGTCGAAGCGAGACATGTAGGCGTCATAGGGACCGCGATGAGCCTCAGTTTTACATAAGAGTTATGAATCGCAAGCCCACGCTCGCCACAAGGCCAGTGCCAGTGCGCAGTTGTGATGATTAATCGGCTCACATTCGATCAGTGCCGGACACGACATCAGCCCAGTATCTTGTCTCACCCACTATATCGCCTTTGTGAGTTATCCCACAAATAAATTATATATTTTTTAAACATTTTCTATTATTATATGCTGCATTAGTTGTTTCTATTTCATCAACATGAATCTCTACAAATTCAAATTTATAATATTTTCCAAAACTATCCATTAAAACTGCATTTTCTATGTTGTATTGTGCTATACAATTTTCAATTTGCTCTTTGTACATTTGTGTCATTTCTATCATACTTCCAAAATGTTATGTCGGCATGTTCTTTTTAGTTATCGCTTTACGTGTTTCCGTTTTTCTGTTGTCGTAGACGTCAGCTCAACGGACACCCTGAGGAAATCGAGCGACGACTATTCGCGAAAACATTTATCAGGTAAGTTTTATTTTTGTTTAATCAAAATAATACATATGTTGCGATGTGAACGGCATGCCAGCACGGTTTTGCGATCATATTTCAATTTCACGTTATATCATAGCTTTTTTCTGTACATATATGTATCTAAAACACACATTTTCACAATTATGTCACGCTTCTGCACGTCGCGGATCTGCATCGCAGATTTGATCGAGGCCGAAGAAGACGAGGTGTCGAGCAGTCTACCCGATAGGCATCGCATGTTTAGAAAGGCATCCAGTAAGTCTATCATGCTTATATCTAGAAGCTACATCTGTAAGGTGCCAACACAAAAGACATCAACACGAAACTTAAAGGACAAAATACGGTTAATTAATGTCATACAGTTCACGAAAAGGTTACAGTTTGTGTGTTGTCATTTGTGATACAAATAGGTGAAGGCATGCTACATTCATTTGCACTGGATATAACGGAGTGAGGTGACGGAACTTAGAGACAGCATTCCTAACCAGCCACAATTAAATTAAGAACAATAATATTAAAACAAAAATTAATATTTAATACAGTAAAGTAAAACTTTAACTTTTAAATTGAAACCAAGCAATGCATGACACGGTACTCATAGTTGACAAAAATGTTTTGTGGACGTTTGACAAACATTTAAAGTGGTTACACCTACAGCCGTTCGTCAAACACAACCTAAGTAATGAACGGCATTGTTTTGATATTACGTCCGACATACTTTTTTGTATTACAGCTTTGTAAATTTTAAAAACTTTTGTGGAAATAACATGGATGATAGAATTGACATAAATTTTACTAATTCATAATTTTTCAATCCAAAATATTGGTTTGTGTTTGTATCAGCCTGTCGGTAGCAGGTAGCATGGTGTGAGCTGGTTAGTAGTGGCTAATGTTTGTGTGTGTCACTTGTGTACGTAGCCGCTAGCAGCTCCTTCAGCGGCAACTCGATGGACGCACTTTGGGAGAAGCATCCCCGCCGCCTCAGCGAGGCAGGCCTGCGGAGGTCCTCAGGTGCGTGCAAACATCACTATGCACTTTTCAAATCACATTCCACGCCCTATCAAGGCCGAAAAACATTCACGTGGAAATGATTTGAATATCTGCATAAATCACAATTATCATACTCGTACGTCATTCACGCTCGTAGATCGCCTACACATGCGCTTTGGACGCTGCCGATTCATTGGATGTAAACAGTTAGTATTAAGCACATGTGGTATCGACGGTTTGGATTTGGTAATCAGCATGGTATTTAGAAAATATTTCATTAGGTAGAAGTCAAATGCAGTTTGTTTTGAGTAGTGACTATAGCGAAAGTCCTATAGTTTTAAAGCAAATCTTCACGTCCGCTAGTTGGAATGCAAATGGCCGTTTAACGGGCCTTGCAGTTGCACACAAAGGTATTCAAGTCGTGTGCGCGTAGTTAAAATATGTGCGATGAATAAGGAATGCAAAGAGGATATCCATATTTAGACATCTTGTAAACTCTAGTGATTGTCACTTTCTATAGAAATTCTTAAGTAAAGAAAATAGAAGATTCTAAGGATTTGTTACAAAGAGATGTGAATAATGTACTATAATTTATGTCATTTCAGACCACAGCGTCGTATTAACAGAGGACACAGATAGCTTCATAATTGGGGAAAGGGTTTGGGTAGGCGGGACTAAGCCTGGCCAAATAGCGTACATTGGCGAAACACAATTCGCACCTGGAGATTGGGCCGGTATCGTCCTCGACGACCCAATCGGTAAGCAATGTTACCACTTCTTTTTAAAAGTTTAAACTAGTTATATGTCTCTGACGGCCTTATAAAATTTTAGGTAAAAACGATGGATCTGTTGCGGGAGTGAGATATTTCCAATGTCCGGAAAAGCGGGGAGTATTCTCCCGATTGACGCGGCTGACCCGAGCGCCGCTGGTAGGGCACGCCGCTCACGACGCATCGCCGGTCTCCGATGCCGGCAGCGTGTTCGAACGACCACCTTCAGGTGCTGCGAGGCCCAGGCGCACGCTCTCTCCTAATGGAAGCGTTCGCAGTATCGTTAGCAGTAAGATGAGTAAGATACTACTACTATATTTCTTTATACAATTGGTTAAGATATGATTTGAAACTAATGTGTATATTTTTTTAGATGCTTCGATTTCAGCAACAGCGAACGGAGAACTTCGCCTGGGGGACCGCGTTATAGTATCGAGTAGTCGCGGCAGTAAAGCAGGGATTTTGCGTTATGTTGGAGTTACCGAATTTGCGACTGGGGTTTGGGGCGGCGTCGAACTCGATGACCCTCTCGGAAAAAACGACGGTTCCGTTGACGGGAAGAGGTTTGTTAAAAAGGAAATACAGGTGGATTGTGGTTATCAGCATTTCAAATTAATTTGACGTTGACTTTTTCTACTTTCCAAGTATTTTATCATTGAATTATATTGGAATAATACTCCGGCGAACGCAAACCTGTAATATGACTACATATTTTCAGGTACTTCGAGTGCGCACCACGTTTCGGCCTTTTCGCGCCGATTTCGAAAGTATCGAAGTCGCCGTCGAATAGGAAGCCGGGCGCGT